AGCTTAATTTCTTTATATTTTTTTAGTAGAGATGGGGTCTTGCTCTTGCTCAGGCTGGTACTCAACTCCTGAGCTCAAACGATCCTCCCGCCTCAGCCACCCAGAGTGCTAGGATTACAGGTGTGAGCCACCATGCCCAGATAAAAGGCTTTTTAGAATTTCTTTTTGGGTAATGAAAATGTTAGAAAATTGATTTTAGTGATGGTTTTACAACTCTATGAATACACTAAAAACCATTGAATTGTACACTTTAAATGGATTAACTATATGACATGTGAATTATATCTCAATAAAGCTGTTAAGAAAAAAAACCACAAAATGAGTCACATTTTTGGCTATGTATTTATTTATTGCATTTATAATAATTTAGGAAAATTATATGCCATTTAGGTCTTTATAAAGGCCTTGGGGTTTATGCCTCCAAACAAACTCTCTTTCTTTAAAAGAGAAAAGGTAAGGAAGGTAGTAGAATAAGAAGGGGAACCTTCATAAATAATTACTATGCCTGACACATTACAGTTTTACCTACTCATTATTTTATCTTGAACAGTAAGTTTTTCCACTCTCACATTTTTGTCTTCTTTATACACTTTTAGAAACTAATGAATGCCTAGCTTAATATAAAATGTTCAACCAATTTTCCTTAGCATATTTTCAAATGTGATCAATTCCTTCCATAAATGCTTGCAGAAATGATGTGAAGATTCAAGATATAGTAAAATGGCTAAAACAATGCCTGGTACTAAGTGATTGCCATTGTTATTAAACTACAGGAGATGAGGATCCTGAAGTTGACAAGCAAAACTGCAAGGAAGGGGGAAAACACAAAGCCTACCCTCTACAAAGGCAGTTATGTGTCAAGAAAAGGAAATCTTCTGAACCACATTTTCCAAAAAAAAAAAGAAAAGGAAATCTTTGGCATATTAACGCAGACCAACATGAGGACAGCAGCAGCAACATGTTCATCACAACCACCATTACTATCAACACTATCATCACCATCACCATCCTCCTAAAGCATCTATTTATGCCTTTAATTTTTTCTAAGTGTGAAGCATTTAAGCATATGGAAGCATCCTCAAACCCAGCTAATAGCACTTATTTTCCCACATTTGTACCAATATTTTCTTAAATATATGAAATATTAGGTGGCACTGCTCCCATTTCATTTCCTCTCTCTTTACAGTAGCCACCATCTTGAATACAGTGTTTTCCCTATGCATGTTTTAACTGTAACTGTATGTATCTATAAACAAGAGTATTGTGCATGTTTTCAAACTTCACCAAGTAGCATATTGGTCTGTTACTTGCTTTCTTAGCTCAAGATTGTATGTGTTTGTTTTTTAATTGGTCATGTTATTTCCCATATCTCTAATTCATTCAAGAAACTGTTGGACATTATTCCATTTTATGAATATCACAATTTTTTATCCATTCTCTAATAGAAAATTTACCTTGCTTCCAATTTTGTTATTACAAGGCTATAATAAACATAATATCTTGAGTGTGGTACTCACTTCTAAAATACATTCATAGAAAGACAACTGCAAGGACAAAGGATATATACCCCTAACTTCATGAGGTTGCTAAGCTGCTCTCCAAAATTGTTACACCTTTTTTTTTTTTTACAATGTATGCCTTCCATGTATTGTTACACCTTTTTACACTCCCACCAAGTGGTGTTAAGAATTTGTTTCTCTTCATCCTCAACAATTCTTGATATTATCATTCTCTTTAATTTTGCCAAACTGATGAACATAAAGTGGTATTCATTGATTTATTTTTGCACTTGCAACAATACCCGCTGACATTTTTTCCTGATTTGTAAGATTAAGTATCATTTATTGGTCTTCCAGGTTTCCTCATGTGAAATACCTATAAACAGTATAGCTCATCAAAAGCAGCCACGGCTGCCTTGGTAGCAGTGGACTGGTGAGAAGGCCCAAATGGTGGGGAGCTTGTACTCTGGTCCCCTATGTCCTACGAGGCCCTCTGCCATGCTGCACTCTCCCCTTGGCTAAAAGTGGCCTACCCTGAATGCCCAAACTCCTGGTGACCTCGTAGGTCCCCCAGAACCCACCAGTCCTCCAAGGCTGCTGCAGTCTGAGCCGGTGCTGGGGGCCACTGGCTGTGGATCAGCGTGTGAGCAGCACAGAGCCAGGTCTATGACTCAGATCTCCCCTCTCCAGATTCAAGGAAAACACATCTTCCTGGGATCTGGGACAGCAAAATCTGCTGCCCAACAAAGTCAGCTCTCTTCTTTGCCCACCAAGTAGGAGTTAATGTTTCCCAGAATTCTATCTTTGTCCTTTTCTTGTCACTTTTTTCATTTTTCCCTAGATCCTCCTACATGTGTAACAGTTTCCACCACCATTTATATTCTGATGGCTCCAAAATCTTCACAACCAACCCATATCTCCTGAGAAACAAGTTCCTATTTCTAATTAATTAATTGATACCTTCAAATGTTAACTTGAACTACTTTAGTAATATTGATCCTTGTCTCTCAAGCCAGTTCTTTTTATAAGCCATAATGGAACCAGCGTCTTCCCAATCAACCAAGGCAAGAGCCAGGGAGTCAGAGTCTTCCCTCTTCCTTACTGTCCTTACACCTTTCTGGCCAAACAGAAATTCAACCCTGTTGAATTCATTTCCTTAATATTCCTGATGTATTTCTCCATCTGTCCATCCTCTCTTCCAGGCATTCAGAGATATCTAGCATCTGACTTATTATTTAACAAAAGCAATAGGAGAAGATTTCAATTTGAGATTTTTACACTAATGTACACAAAAAGACAAAGTTTATAAGTAAACTAATTTACCCTATCAGCCTCAACTCAGTGAAAAATTATTTCCTTCAAGTCAACAAAAAATACAAGGGACTTACTTAAATGGTGTGAACAAAAATGCCATGGCTCACGCCTATAAATCCTAGCACTCTGGGAGGCCGAGGCAGGCGGATTGCTCAAGGTCAGGAGCTCGAAACCAGCCTGAGCAAGAGTGAGACCCTATCTCTACTAAATATAGAAAGAAATTAATTGGCCAACTATTATATATTGAAAAAATTAGCCGGGCATGGTGGCACATGCCTGTATCCCAGCTACTCAGGACGCTGAGGCAGAAGGATTGCTTGAGCCCAGGAGTTTGAGCTTGCTGTGAGCTAAGCTGACACCATGGCATTCTAGCCCCGGCAACAGAGTAAGACTCTGTCTCAAAAAAAAAAAATAAATAAATAAATAGTAAACGAAACCACACAGTATTGCCATTTTTCTGCCGACTTGTATTATAATGGCTAGGCTATTTTTTTTTTTTTTTTGCGACAGAGTCTTGCTTTGTTGCCCAGGCTAGAGTGAGTGCCCTGGCGTCAGCCTAACTCACAGCAACCTCAAATTCCTGGGCTCAAGCCATCGTTCTGCCTCAGCCTTCTGAGTAGCTGGGACTACAGGCATGCACCACCATATCCAGCTAATTTTTTCTATATATATTAGTTGGCCAATTAATTTCTTTCTATTTATAGTAGAGATGGAATCTCGCTCTTGCTCAGGCTGGTTTCGAACTCCTGATCCCGAGCAATCTGCCCCCCCCCTTGGCCTCCCAGAGTGCTAGGATTACTTACATGTGTGAGCCACCACGCCTGGCCTATAATGGCTCTTAAGTCTGGATATCATTTTCTTATTAATTATATGTGTTTCTAAATGCTCTTTCAAAAAAAATACAAACTTGTTGTTGATTCTGAAATCTAGTAAAATGTAGAAGCAAAGCTAATTCCTGACTTCTCAAAGTTTACAGCTACTTTTCAGACCTTTTTATCAATGTTTCTCATAACTTTTTGTTCACTCACAGATGAAGAATTCCTCACTGAGAGCCAATACAAATAAACTGAAAAACAGGGCTGTAAATCAGTTTCTTCTAAGGGATGACATTTTCTTAACCACAAGCAAATAACAAAAAACAAGGACGGTTTGTCTCCATTCTACACAGTCAACATTTTGGCTCTCATGTTAATGCACCATACAGCTTTCAGAGGGGCCAATAAGCATCTATTTTGATTACTAATGGTTAAAACCCGTAACACTTAATAAACACATCTATAAGGATGTTTGAAACAATAATGAAGAGTGCCCACTCCACCCAACGAATTAAGAATAAATACAAACTCAGACTAGCAAATGAAATATTTTTATTTTGAGCCGCACTAACATACAGTTTTTTACAAATATAGTCACTCTGCAGAAGTGAACCAAATCTGGACATTTTGGTGACAGACACCTGCTCAAAAAAGTTTACTTCATTTACGGGAGCACTACAAAATGTTCTGCAAAATAAAGATGCTGCACTAGAGGAAGGAATATAATCACAGAGCAGGTAGGGCTAAATCTCTCATTTTCAGGGGAGGCATCTGCAATCCAGAAGCTATAAGAAATTGCCCAAAATCTACAAATTCAGGTTTCTTTCCACTGCATCACACATCATGTTTTAGACTCCCCAGCTCTAAAACTGATTCCTCTATTAATTTTGCAAGCCTAGGATGATGTGTTATAGAAATGACGGAAGTAACGCCCAAACCCACACCAATCTTTTCCTTTCCACCTCCTTACCTTTTTCCCTCCCATATCCTCCATTATATTCCACGGAAGGAAAAAAATACCTGACTACCTGAATTTCTAGTCCTAAACCTGGGTATGGACTCCCAAGCCCCTGCTACTGTTTTTGCGTTAAGTTAATCGAAGTTCTTTGTTGTTGTTTTTTTTTTAAAGAATGCATTCCTTTATTCCTCCGCAGCGCCGACTTTGCAGAGGCGCGGTGCACGCCGCTGCTCCCAGCCCGCGGACCACCGCGCGCGGGCGCCGAGACAGCTCCCTCCCCTTGCCAGAGAGTGGGGTCACCCGGGAGCGGGGCCGCCTGGGAAGCGGAGCTCCCGGGAAGAGGGGCGGGAGGTCCCGGGGCGCCGGGGAACCGGCCAGCGGGCGGCGAGCGGCCGAGAAGCACCGGCGACTCACCTTTCCGCAGCTCCCGCTCCCACACGGTGACGATGGGCCGCGAGTGCTTGCGGTGGTGGATGAGCCACAGGGACAAGGTCTGCACGCTCTGCTGCGAGTTGCTCAACTCCGACAGCTTCTTCTCCAGCGCCGCCTCGGAGAAGACGGACATCCCTCCGACAGCACGTCCACGCCGTCCCACGCGGTGGGGCCGAGGGGAGGAGAGTTTCGCCGCCCTCGTTGCGGCCTCGCCCCCTCACCCCACCCTTGCCCACGCCCTCACCACCGCCCGGGCTGCCACATCCAAGACCGGCCGCAAACCATCAAGATGGCGTCCGGCCGGCAGTGACGTCACGGCCGACCCACGCCCCGCCCCTCCCGCTACAGGCCCAGGGTTAAAGGCGGGACGGGGAGGCGGAACCACAGCGCGGAAGGGGCAGGACCCAAACAAGTGCGGGGTCAGCGGCCAGGGGGCGTGACGCCTGGGTCAGGCCCAGAGGGGGGACTCAGGCATTGCCAGGCCTGGAACTGCCTACCCCCGGCGTGGGGGAAACTATCTCTGCCAAATACCTCTCTACATAGGCGAGTAAATTGGTATAAATCAGTGCAGCCACTATTTTTTTATTAAAATTAAATTATTCTTATAATTTATTTTTTTAATTTTTTCTTTAATCACAAGGAGATAATTGAGACTGAAAGTACAGCCACTTTGGAAGACAGTGTGCATCATCAGTTACTTTTGAAAATACACCTTTTCAGCAACTTCACGAATTGCTGTCAATGCTACAAAAACGCCAGCATGTTTGCACCAGGAGCTGATCTTAGTTGTTTGGTAGAACCCAGTAACTGTAAAAAATTGGAACATTTACATCAGGTAAATGGCTAAATTGCGATACACCCATATTCCAGAATACATGTGGGAACTAAAATAAAATCTTAAGGTTCCCCTCACCAACGGACTGAATGGACCCCTCTGGGCCAAGGAGATACCCTAAAACTGAGTTGCAGGACTTGGACTTGAGAAGGAAGGTCAGACAAGGCGCAACATGCCCTCCCTCCCTTCTGGGGATCTACTTTGTGACTCATTAACAGATCTAAGGCTATACAGGACAAACCTGTGAGTCCTCAATTTACACAACAAAATATATGGCCAGCAGCTTCTCTCTGATTAGCAGACTTCCTTATCTTAATTTAAAACATTCCAAGCCTTTACAAAGCTTCAATTATTTAACTAATTACAAGTCAAAGAGTCTTTAAACCCACCCATAACCCGTAGGCCCTGCCCCCCCATGAGCTGTTCCACCTTTTCTGGCCAAGCCAATGTATGGCTTCCATGCATTGATTTATGATTTTACCTATAATTCGTGTCTCCCTGAAATGTATAAAACCAAACTATATAGAAAAAATTAGCCAGGTATGGTGGCACATGCCTGTAGTCCCAGCTACTCCGGAGGCTGAGGCAGCAGAATCGGTTGAGCCCAGGAGTTTCAGTTTGCTGTGAGCTAGGCTGACACCATGGCACTCTACCTGGGGCAACAGAGTGAGACTCTATCTCAAAGAAAAAGAAAAAAACCCAAACTGTAACCCAACCATGATAAGTCCACTTGCTCAAGGCTTCTTGGGCATGGCTCTGGGCCATAGTCCTCAAATTTGGCTCAGAATAAACTTCTTTAAATTATTTTACATAGTTTCGCTTTTTTTCCATTGACACATGCATCAGTTTAAGTTACAGAAACAAAAGTACTGTATACTATTTGTTTTGTTTTTTTTATTCTTTTTGTTTAATATAAAGACAATCTCATTTTCTCAGGCTGGTCTTGAACTCCTGAGCTCAAGAGATCTTCCCACCTTGGTTTCCCAGAGTGCTAGGATTACAGGAGTGAGCCACCACTCCCAGCCAATACTTGTTTTTAAAGGTATGTATTTTATATAAATTAACAAGTACGTCATTGCATAGCAAAGCTTTAGATGAACATACATGACGTTAATAGTGGTCTCAGGGAGAGGATCAGAATTCGATCCCTTAAGCTGTGTCTATATTGCTTTCTCTCATTACAAGAGGAATGTGTTCATGGGTTACTTATGCAGTTAAAATTAACTTCAGAAATCTCATAATTAATCCAGCATATTTTGACATTGTACTTGTCTTTTTTTTTTTTTTTTTTTTTGAGACAGAGTCCCACTTGTTGCCCAGGCTAGAGTGAGTGCCCTGGCGTCAGCCTGGCTCACAGCAACCTCAAACTCCTGGGTTCAGCGATCCTACTGCCTCAGCCTCCCGAGTAGCTGGGACTACAGGTATGCGCCACCATGCTCGGCTAATTTTTTGTATATATATATTTTTTTAGTTGGTCAATTAATTTCTTTCTATTTTTGGTAGAGACGGGGTCTCGCTCAGGCTGGTTTCAAACTCCTGACCTTGAGCAATCCACCCACCGCGGCCTCCCAAAGTGCTAGGATTACAGGCCTGAGCCACCGCGCCCGGCCTTTTTTTTTTATTTTTTTGAGACAGAGTCTTGCTTTGTTGCCCAGGCTAGAGTGAGTGCCATGGCGTCAGCCTAGCTCACAGCAACCTCAATCTCCTGGGCTCAGGTGATCCTGCTGCCTCAGCCTCCTGAGTAGCTGGGACTACAGGAATGAACCACCATGCCTGGCTAATTTTTTCTATAGTTATTAGTTGGCCAATTAATTTCTTTCTATTTATAGTAGAGACGGGGTCTCGCTCTTGCTCAGGCTGGTTTGGAACTCCTGACCTCGAGCAATCCACCCACTTCAGCCTCCCAGAGTGCTAGGATTACAGGCATGAGCCACCCTGCCCGGCCTTACATATATGTTTTTTGCCCTGCCCAAGTCAGAGCTACAAACATGTCCATTCCCCAGACAGTGCACCACACCCATTAGGTGTGAATATACTCATTCCCCTATTCCCCTCCCACCTGTACCTATCTATCTTCTGAGACCTAAATGTATCTTCAATACTATTCCCTTCCATGAACTGTGTAGCTTCCAAAATTACTACTTATCATCTCCCAGTTTATGTCTTCACCTGAGATTCCAACTCTTCCCATTGTGTCTTCCTCTCTGTCTCAATTCTACCTGTACGTTATTTATTTATTTATTTGAGACAAAGTGTTGCTTTGTTGCTCAGGCTACAGTGAGTGCCATGGTGTCAGCTTAGCTCACAGCAACCTCAAACTCCTGGGCTCAAGCAATCCTGCTGCCTCAGCCTCCTGAGTAGCTGGGACTACAGGCATGCACCACCATGCTCAGCATATATATATATATAATTTTTTTTTTTAGTTGTCCGGCTAATTTCTTTCTATGTTTTTAGTAGAGACAGAGTCTTGCTCATGCTGCTCTCGAACTCCTGAGCTAAAACGATCCACCCGCCTCGGCCTCCCAGAGTGCTGGGATTACAGGTATAAACCACTGCATCTGGCTGCTTTTTATAATTTTATATAAATATTCTTTCTCTCCAGCTCTTTTGTCTTCCTTAGCCAACAGTCTGATTTGGCTGCCGCTGCTCTGGCCTCCCACACATTCTGTGCATGAGTGTGTCATGGCTTTGGGCACCAGGCTGTTAGATCTATATTTATTGACATTGTTTCTTATTACTGTGTTTTCACAATATTGACTATAATTATTTATGCCTTTAGATACTTATGACTTATTTTCATATCTTGTCTCTAAATTGGAAAGGAGGAGGTAAAATGATCTCTATTCATAAAGATATGACCTTATATCTAGAAATCTTAAAGAATACACAAAACTTAAAAATAATGAACATTCAGCAAAATTGCAGCATATAAGATCAACCCACAGAAATCAGTTGTATTTCTATATGCTAGCAATAAATAATTTGAAAATGAAATTAGGAAAAAATCTTATTTATAATAATATCAAAAAGTATAAAATACTGGGGAATAAATTTAACCCAAAACCTGTATTTAACCTATGTAGACCTATATACTGAAACTGAAAACCGTAAAATATTGGTGAAAGAAATCAAAGACCTAAACAAGTAGAAAGACATCCAGTATCCACAGATTGGAAGACTTAATATTGTTAAGATGGCAGTACTACCCAAAACAATCTGCAGATTCAATGCAATTCATATTAAAATCTCAGCCAAGTGTGGTGGCTCATGCCTATAATCCTAGCACTCTGGGAGGCTGAGGTGAGTGGATAGCTCAAGGTCAGGAGTTCAAAACCAGCCTGAGCAAGAGCGAGACTCCATCTCTACTACAAAATAGAAAGAAATTAATTGGCCAACTAACATATATCAAAAAAATTAGCCAGGCATGGTGGTGCATGCCTGTAGTCCCAGCTACTCGAGAGACTGAGGCAGCAGGATTGCTTGAGCACAGGAGTTTGAGGTTGCTGTGAGCTAGGCTGACGCCATGGCACTCACGATTTACAGTTATCTATTTTTTGTATAGAGTAGAAGAAATACACTTTAAAATATATAAAAGTATAGTTAGTAAATATACCAGTAACTTAGTCGTTTATGATCATTATTAAGTATTATGTACTATACATCATTGTACATCCTAGACTTTTTTGGTTTTTTTTTTTTTGAGACAGAATCTCGCTTTGTTGCCCAGGCTAGAGTGAGTGTCTTTCTAAGTAATAATGTAGTCAAACTGTGCATACATTATGTCTCAGTAATGCTGTACTTCTCAGGTTACATGAATAGAAGCACACGATATTCATGGGCAGCACAGAGCTCGATGCTCATGCCTGTAATCCCTAGCTCTGGAGCAAGCGGGCGGATTGCTCGAGGTCAGGAGTTCGAAACCAGCCTGAGCAAGAGGAGACCGTCCTCTACTATAAATAGAAGAAATTAATTGCCAACTAATATATAGTAGAAAAACTAGGCCGGCATGGTGGTCATGCTGTAGCCAGCTACTCGGGTGCCTGAGGCAGGGAGATTGCTTGAGCTCCAGGAGTGTGAGTGTTGCTGTGAGCTAGGCTGATGCCAGCAACTCCTCTGTAAAAGATAAATGTCTTTTTTTGTAGTTGTCAGTTTCCTTTTTTTATCCTAAATATGGTAAACATAAAAGCCTTCACAATAGTTTTGGGTCAATTAAAATTTGGAGAATGAGATAAACTTATTCCTATTAGTCTTTTATTTGTATTGAGTCATATTATATAACATGCAATTATAACCATTCTAAATGTACAGTCA